AAAGGTGAAAAGACACAAAGCAGACGTTGTTTGGAAAAGGTACAGAAAGCTATAATATTTATTCCCTTTCTTTCAGATAAACATTTTAAAGACATATATATATTCAGTTACCTTGAATTTGAGAGTATCCTGGTTTTAATTATTTGTACCTATTTATTTTATAACTATTTTGGTATCATTTAGTGTTGTTACTTCTGTTTTAATTATCCCTATTTAATATAAACTAATGGTTTTATTTAAATTTAGTAGCTAAGCTATATATTCTAATTTTGGGAACCAGGACTCTGTATTTGAAATGTTATTTCAGATTCTTAAATAAAATGAAAGAAAACTTATCACATTACTTCTATACACATATAGTTATAACATATTCAACATAGTATCACACAATCAATAATCAAATCAGTTCTTGGCTCTCAACTTGTGAAGAGGAAAATATGCACAAGTTCTTGTCCTACTATCGTGGTGGGTAACTGTAATAGTTCTCTTCTTTTAGATAGGTCGATGGGTAGCTCGCCAGACTGAAATTCACCACAGTACACCAGCAGAGATGAGGGCAGCGTTCCAGTCAAAGAATCCAGAAAATCTCCTTCACATCACACAAAAAAAAGACCCGACCAAGGGTATCATATAAGAGGCAATGCTCTTGGGGAAAAGTAGAAAAGTCGGTCAATCTAAGTGAAAAGTTGTTAAAATAACTACAATTAAAATCTATAGAGCTAATGCTGCTGAGTCATTATCCCAAAAGGATAAACAGCCATCTCACTTCCTGTTAGACAGCAGACACGGGGCGGGTCTAAACTTTGATTGGCTTAGCCTTGCTTTACAACCACTTTAGATGGACAGGGGATTTATCTAATCACACTCATTTAAATGTTTTCATGAAGAATTGTCTAAATCATGTTGTCCTAAATTGCATATTGTGTATCTATATTGTTTCTATTTTAGTTTCAAATAATTTATATTATTTGTGTATGTAGTGCTAAGCATTAAAATAAAGTTGACATTTTAGTCAATGTTATTTCTCAGTGTCTTAGTAACCGGGGGTTACATACAGCCTTAGCCAGCCGCCTGAAGACACCTCCTCTTTAATTTTTATTGTGAACTACAAGATTGGTAATCATTTAATTTCTGAAATGTTTGCAAACTGACAACAGTGAAAGTTGGTGTATATAGCTCCTACACAGGATAAACCATATGATCTTTGTAGTAACTCAGCCTATCCTCTGGCGCCACCCTCTGGACAAACGTTTTCTTGTTTCTGTTTGTGTGATGGAGAAGGAATTACATTTGTTTGTTGTTACAAATACTTTCAGTTGAAACAGATTCCTGGTGACAACATTGTTTGGAAGTAGTTCAGCTTTAACACATCACTGAGGGTAAAGTATGTCACAGAACACAGGATTATTTAATAGAGGTGTTTTCATTGAATTCAATATCAAAGCAGTCACGTGTATATCATGGGGTGCTAGATGTTGACCGCTGTGGATTGATTGATTGATTGAAAAGTTTATTAACAGCTTGTATATTGGGTACAGTACAGTACAGCTCAAAACATACAATTGTTAAGGGGATGCAGACCAGAGAAAGACTTTCGTCTTGTTTACATCAGGGTCCCCCATTTCCAATTCATCATATCATTTAAGACATATAAGACATATTTGACATACAGATGGCTTATTTACAATTTACATACAGGTGGTTTTTTACATACAGATGGCTTATTTACAATTTTCATTTTAGATTTCGTTCTAATACATCCTAACCGGACATTTAAGACATACCAAGTCTACAGATATACAGTTAGTAACAGAGTCTAAAATGCGAGTATATACATAGATGGGGGGGGGAAGCTGTCCATTGTACGACAGGTTGAGATTTGTACCATTACCGGGGCCAGTTTTGCAATGCTTTCCCCCGAAGGTGCTCTTTAAGAGAGGTTTTGAAGGTAAGTATAGTTTTACTTTCCTTTACAGTTGTGGGAAGAGCGTTCCACCTTGATGTGGCATAATTGCGAAACGTGTATTCCCCTTTTTTTGTGCCAAATCTGGGTTTTACATGATTTGTGGAGCTCCCTCTGGTGTTATGATCATGGTATTCCTTGACCTTTGGGAAGAATTTTGACATGTACATGGGTACCATAGAGGTGTAGTGGATCTTGTAGACCAGGCCCATTGCAAGTAGCTGTACTCTGTCGTCTACTCTAAGCCATCCTAGGTTGTCAAAGTGGGCAGAGGTGAGGTGGGTTCTAGATGAAAGGTCAAGCAGTAGTCTGACCAGTTTATTTTGCGATGTTTGAAGTTTTATTTTTAGCGCCTTGGAGGTGCTATGGTACCATGACGTGCAAGCATAGTCATAGTACCCTTGAATGAGTGCTCCTGCCAGAGTTTTCAGGGTGTTTTGTTTACCAGAGAGGAGATCCGGTATAGGAATCTAGTTCTTTGATTGACTTTTTTTATTACATTGGATGCCATTTTGTCACAGGAGAGGTTTGCCTCAAGAATAGATCCTAGGTATGTAATTTCCTTCTTACTTGTGACAATAATGTCACCCACTGCAACTGAGAAGTCGTCGGATTTGCTGAGATTATGTTTCGAACCGAAGAGAATGGACTCTGTTTTACCCAGGTGTAATGATAATTTATTATCGGCGAGCCAGGTGCAGATTCTGCCGAGCTCGGAGCTGAGGGTTTTTTCAACCTGCAATCTGCTCCTGTCAGAGACCAGCAGGGCTGAGTCGTCCGCGAACAGGAACAAGTTGCAGTCACATGCTGATGACATGTCATTTGCATAAATTAGGAACAGTAACGGACCTAATATGCTTCCTTGTGGAACACCACAGCTCACTGGGAGGGGGGGGGGACAGAGTACCGTTTACCTCCACCATCTGTTCTCTCCCCTCCAGGTAGGATTGCATCCAGCTCACCGATAGTTTATCAAAACCAATTGCTTTTAGCTTGTCAATCAGAATGGGGTGATTGACAGTGTCGAAAGCCTTTTGTAGGTCCAGCATCACCATGCCGCAGTATTTACCCTCGTCCACCTCTTGTTTGATGTGGTCGTTCAAATAAAGAAGGCATGTGTCAGTGGAGTGGGATGTTCTAAAGCCAGATTGAAATTCATAGATTAGTTTCTTTTCTGCGAGGTACTTTTCGACCTGTTCATATACTATTTTTTCCATGACTTTCGAGATGGAGGTAAGTATAGAAACAGGGCGGTAGTTGCCTGGGTCCAATTTGCTGCCCTTTTTGTGCAGGGGGGTTACTCTTGCAATTTTGAAGTCTTTGGGTACTTTTCCCTGTTTTATGGAGAGGTTAATTATGTGAGCTATGACTGGTGAGATGGCGGTTGCTGTGTCTCTGAGGAATTTGGAGGGGATATTGTCGTGGCCAGTGGCCTTGTTAGGTTTGAGGGCGCTCAGTTTAATGAGTACCTCTGCTGTTGTTACCCTTGCTAGACTGAAATCATCTTTGCGTACCCCTAGGTTTTTGTAGTAGGTCATGATGTGATCTACTCCAAAAAGCCCTGAGTGGGAGGGTAATTTATTTACAAGAGTTGTGGCTATGTTTGTGAAAAAAATGTTCAAGTACTTGGCCACATCCAGTTTGTCTGTGATGAGCCTGTTATCTGTCTTTATGTTTACGTTTGAAAATCTCGTTTTGAGTTTTTTACTGCAGCCAAGCTGGTTATTGAGTAATTTCCAAAGTTCACGGGGTTTATTTTTGTTTTCCTCAGTTTTGTCATTGATGAAATTCTTTTTGGCAGTTTTGATCATGGAGCTTACGTCATTTCTTAGTCTGTTTCTTTCAATTTTTAGTTCAGTCACGTGGGCCTGGAGTTCACTGCTCGTGCTTTTGGAAAGCATTGACTGACTTTTATGAAACTCAGAGCATTTTTTGTCTCTGGTTTTCATGGCGGTCAGTATGCCGGAGTGCATCCACGGCTCAGCGCGATTTTTTACCCTGGTTGTTCTTAGGGGGGCCAAATCATTGAGTATTGCAGAGAATTTGTTTTTGAAACCAAGCCATGTTTCTTCAACTTGTGTACCACTGAGCTCATCTGACCAGTCCAGGCTCTCCAGTTCTAGGTTAAAGGCCTCGCTAGAGTAGTTTTTGAGGTCTCTAGATATGACTGTTTTGTGACAGCCGGCCTTTTGTTTTAGCTTTTTGCGGGTACAGAATATCATATAATGATCACTTAAACCGCATGCTATAACCCCTTTACTGGAGATCCTGGACCTGTCAGAGGTCAGAATGAGATCAATGGTAGTTTGTGTTGTTTCACATACCCGGGTGGGTTGGGTGATTAGCTGGCTGAAGCCGTGCAGATCACAAATCCTACTGAAGGACTTGAAGACGGACGTGTCTTTACGTTGCATATCCGTGTTCCAGTCTCCAATAATAATTGTCTCTACATCCCCCACATCAGCCAAACACCCATCTAATGTATCATAAAAGTCACTCTGTTCCGGTGGTCTATAGATTGTCCCGACTATTACAGATTTAGCATTGTCAAAAAGAATTTCAACCCACACAGATTCAATATTTTCATGATGCAGGTCAGTACGGTTTTTGAAATTGGTGTCTTTATGTATGTACATGCAGACACCACCTCCATTCACGTTCCTGTCCCTTCTCACTACAAGATAATCTTCAATTTCAATCTCTGAATCTGTAATGGAATTGTCCAATTTGGTCTCAGAAAAGCATAATATGCTTGCCTTACCGTTCATGAACAGTTGCCTGAGTTCAGCCAGTTTGTGTCTCAGGCTGTTAGTGTTCAGATGAAAAATATGATCACACTGGTTGTGTTGTTCTTGTTGTCTCCTGTCCCACGTCAGGAAGGCCATACACCCAAGAAGAGCCCTGCCCTCCCTGTGATATAAAAAAAAGGCAATGTACAGAGATTAAATTAGTGTAAATCTTCACTTGAAACTTTTGTCAAAAAAACAATCATGAAAGAGACAAACCTTTTCTTTAATGTTCTGCTTAACAAAACACAGGTCCATCTTGTGTTCAGTTGCCACAGTATGGTTCACTCAGAGGAAAATATAAACAAAATCTAGTTTATATTTTACATAATGATTGCAATGAAATCACAGCACGTAAGCATTTATAGAGTCAAACACGTTTTATATCAGACACGGGAAGCATTCAGATCTGTAAATTCATATGAAGACATGGACTTCATCTCAGGCTGATTGTACTTTACATTTTAGATCAGTGTTAGATGTTTCATAAGCTCAACTTGCTGTATTTGAGTAATGATCAGACTAACAACAACATCAACAGGTACGGGCCTACTAATAGTTCAATAACTTGTGCTTTCATACTTTCTTTCCACAGAGATTTGTCTTTAGGTTAAAGATAACGATAAACCATGTATTGATATTTGTCTCTGCTGCACATTGTGATTTATCTCTAAGCTAGCAAACTGAAAGTTGCGTGTTATACATTTCCAGTTTAATACCAGTTATATATATCTACAGATTCATATTTATATTTATGTTAGAGGTGAAACGTGACTGCGTGTACAAAATGGACGTAGAGGATTCCATGGTTGCTATGGTTTGACGCAGGACTAGCGTCAATATCGGATCAATATTTAAACCATAACAACCTGAAAACTACCTGAAGACGGTCACGAACATATTTTCTCCGCTTTCACTCGACGATTCTTCCAAATTAGCGTTTCTACTCAAGTCTTTTTACATCCCGAAAAGAGTCAGAGACCCCCTGAGAGTTATTACAGCGAGAAAACACACTTTAATTATGGAAAATGTAAGATTTCATGACTTTGAAAGTCCCCGTTGTTTCCAATGTGCTTTGCCGTCGACATTTTCAGAAACCTCACAGTTTAATGATGTTTATCAAATCATTTAGTCTCCTGTAACGATAAGTAGGCCTACCATTAAACACTGTAACCATCAGATTAAGGTCAAGTATGCTACTGTGACGACTCAATTAATAAATCTTTGCATTAAAAACTACCAAAAATACACATGCATTCATCAAAACTAGGCTATATGACAATATTAACAAATACATGTATCTAATACAAATCATTTATATTAACTTTTTAGGCTATATCACCCAGCTTCAAGCTGAAATACATTAATATTGTAACTTTGAATGTAGCTAATTAAAGTCACTCACTTTAACTTAGCATTATTTCCATCATATGCCAACCGCATGTGCAATATTATATGTTCAAACAGTAAACAGACATATGCTTATTATATAATATTGTACACACACGTCACATATGTGTCACTAAAGCACAATATTAACTGACATGAGGGCCTAAAGGTGGGTCTTGTTTTGTTACCGGACCTGTCTTGTCTTGAGGAGGTTTTCAGACTTTGATTACATGTTTCATGTTCCTTCATTTATGATTTTATCTAACAACCACATCCATCTTTGGCAAGTTAATCTTCCAGCACATAAAACTAGTAATAACACATTTAATTTCCATACTACGACATGACTATATATTAGAACATCCTGCAGGTACTTGTAAAGCCTCATCCTAACATGAGTGTGTGTTGTTGCAGGGTCGAGTGCCCGTCCTCCCGCAGGACAACCAGACAGGAAGGAGAGTCTCTGCCCGCCAGAGGAGGCCTGCAGTCTGCAGACAGTGTCCCTGCTGCAGGGACGACCAGGTGAGACATCTGATCCACAACTCTGTTCCTTTGAATTGTACACAGTTTAATCCACAAGATTGTTTGACTGTGGAGTATATTGTCAATACTAAATAGTTTGAGACTAGACAAGGTCCATTGTACAGGACTAATGCCCCAAATACTCACATTTCAAGTAATCCTCTGCAGTGCATCTGATGTAGATGTTTCCTCTTGTAAAATGATAAAAGTATGTTGTTAAGTAAGAAGTTTACTAGAGTCTGACATCCTCTCGTGTTTTGCTGACCTTCTCCAGGTGCCACATACAAAGCGCCGGCGCCCTGCTGCTTCTGCAGACCTTCCCCAGAAAAGGAAGCAGACCTCCGCTGCTCTTCCTCCTAAACCTGCTGACCTGCCCCCTGTCTCTAATGTGGCCCCCAGCCCCCGGACCTCCACTGCTCCCCTGCACCTCGACAACCCTATCAGGATCCACAACCGCTCAGTCGAGGAGTATCAGCTCATCTACCATGAAGTTGTGGATAACATGCTGAGGTACGTTGTGTCACAAATAAAATGAGTCAGTTCATTTACAGAGTTTAGACTCTCTTAGAAATCTATCTCTCTGTTTTCCTTCATCATAAAGATTTATTTTGTGTTTCTCCTCTCAGGTTCCCGAACGGTCTCCTGCGTCCATATAGTTTGGGTCTGGGTCGTCGTATCAAGCAGAAGCTGTGGGAGCGACTGGACCGTCCGATGTTCACAGAGACAGTGGATGAAGACGGTCTGGTCCATGTGGACGTGTCCTACGGTGCTGGAGTCCAGCCTCCGCTCTTCAACGTGGATGTTTCTGGTGAACCAGAGCCCGAATATCCACCAGCAAAAAGGGCAAAGCACTAAGACACACTCTCATAAGCTGACATGTCTAAATAACACTGTGCTTTAAGTTTAGTTTAGTTGTTTTAAGTTTCATTTGAGTAGTTTTAAGTTTTAAGTATGGCAGTTAAGTTTACGTTTATTAAGTGCAGAGATAAGTCTTTAGTGCCAAGCATAAGTATTAAGTGTTAAGTCTTTAGTTTTAAGTATTTAGTAATAAGTATAGGTATACAGTGTTAAGAGTAAGTGTTTAGTTTAAGTGTTAAGAATAAGTATTTAGTGTTAAGAGTTAGTATTTAGTTTGAGTTAAGTTGACTTTCATTGATCTTAATGTATCTCACCACTGATGAATTGTCTTCCTCTGAATCAGTTCATGCTCCTCTGTTAACAGTCTTCTCAATCAGCTTCAGCCTCAACAGCAACAGTTATCACCTGCCAGAACACCTGCTCCACCCTCCAGGCTCCACCTGTTACTTCTACCATCCACCTCAGACAACACATCAGCCTTGAGCTGCAGCCTGTTCCAAAAACTCCTCTCCACCTACAGCCGCTGTCTCTCTGCTGCCTCCATCCTCTACCAGCAGCTTCAGCAACAAACTGCTGCCTCACTCTCCACCTGCAGCCTCTGTTAGCAACCTGCAGTTGTTGGGTCCAGCTGCAGGTTCTGAAAGACAGCTTCAGCCGAACCTGCACCTCCACCCTCTGTCAGCAACCTGCAGCCAACTCCTCCACCTGCAGGTTCAGACGAACTGCTGACGGCTGAACCTCCATCTACAGCCTTTGCCAGTGCACCTGTGCCTACACCTCTCGAAGTGAACTGCTATCCGAGCCTCCACCCACAGCCTCTGTCAGCAACCTGCAGCTGCTGCCTCCACCTGCAGATTCTGACAGATCACTGCGGTCAAACCTCCATCTACAGCCACTTGAAGAAGACCACTCCCCCTGAAGATCCCCACAGAAAGCTGTGGTCAAACCACCACCTACAGCCTCTATAAGGAAACCTGCACAGATGTTATCCTACTGCCATGTGGAGACCTGAGTGGAACAGCAAGGACCAGAGAAACACACGCATATATAGTCCTTCAGTTAAAATGCAAAAATATATCTGTGTTATTAAAGCTGGCTTTCTGTTTACATTCTGTTCACTTGTTCTTCTTCTCACAGGTGTTTTCAAACATTGTGTGAAAGACTGAGCACACACTCCTCAACATGAACCTGACTGACTGTGATGATGCCTTCATGAAACAGAGAGAGCTCCTCTTCCTCCCAAGTTGTACGTACAGTATAGCAGTATGATATATTTCTTAACAACACACTCTGAGTGTATTGGGATTCTGAATGGAAGTTCGGTGATGAATTATATTTGAATGAAACACCTTATACTTCCAGATCTACCAGGAGCTGATTCAGGCCCCTGAGGACAACTCCTTCTACAACAGCTCTGTTCCAGAGATGCTTCCTCCTCCTCCTCCACATCCTCCACCTTCACCACCCCTGCGGCTGAACCTCCACCTAGCCTCTGTCAGCAACCTGAACCAGCACCTACACCTCTCGTACACAATTGCCATCCAAACCTCCACCTGTAACCTTTGCCAGCCGCCTGAAGACACCTCCTCCACCTGACGATTCCCACAAAAAGCTGGGGTAAACCTCCACCTTCAGCCTCTATAAGGAAACCTGCACAGACGTTATCCTACTGCCATGGTTGGATCTAAGTGGAACAGCAACGACCAGAGAAACACTGGTAAATATAATCTTTGAGTAAACATGCAAAAATATATCTGTTTAAAAATAGCATGCCTGGGCTGAGCTGGGCTTCTGTTTACATTCTGTTCACTTCTTCTTCTTATCACAGGTGTTTTCATACTGTATGAAAGACTGAGCACACACTCCTAAACATGAACCTGACTGATTGTGATGATGCCTTCATGAAACAGAAAGAGCTCCTCTTCCTCCCACCTGTACGTACAGTATAGCAGTATGAGACATTAAGTAATGGGATTTTTGATGGAAGTTTTCTGATGAATGCTATTTTAATGCAACACCTTTTCTTTGTGTTTTCTGCAGGCTTTGTTGGACTTCCAGATCCAGAGATGCTTCATTCCTGCCCCTCCCCATCTCTGCAACCACTAGCAGTTTCTGCGCAAGCCAATTAATTGAAGTCCAAAGATTGCAGAGACGCTCCACCCGAGACTTCAGTGCCTTACTTTTCCAACAACGCCCCCTAATACGACGTCCAATGTGCTCTTTTACTGTGTACTTTAAGCCTCCGCACTGTTTTATAATAAATGAACTATTGTCTGCAACCACCTGATCAGTAATTTGAGACCAGAATAATTAGTATAAAACAGATCTTAAGGATATGATTGTTTGTGTGTGTTTAAGTTGAATTTTGTTCCTTTGTCATGGTATATTAATGATTAGTCACCCCTTATTTAGGGTTTATATTATGGAATTAATAACATTAACACATTCACTTTCTAGTAATTCATCATGTCTGCAATTTCTTGAGCCATATGTACAAAGACATCTGACACAGAATGTAATTTACTGCAATTACGGCTATTTTAGCCAATACAACATTTCCACAATCTCCTTGAAATGCGTATTAAATAAATAAAAAGCGTGTTGTTTCAATTTTCCAAAATAAAGTTTATTTTTCCTCTACATTTAAGGATATGAACCAAATATACCAAGAGTCACAATATGTCAAAGCCAGACATTGAATTATATAATAGCCCACTATATATGTACAGTTGAAATAATACAGATAACATATTCACACCAATTAAACAATTAAACAAATGCTAAATAACTTCAATATGAAGTGGGTTCAGAGATGATCAATACAAGGATATTCAAGAAACAGTTAACAAACAGAAAATTATTAAAGAATATTTTGTTAGAGATTGATGAAACATTGTTAGAGCAGCTTATGAAATAATAAGTCATGAAATGTGAAATTCAGTCATTTAAATATAACACTATATAAAAGGAGAAATGATTGTGTGAAGTCAAACAGCTAATCGTAACTACAGCATGCCCCTTTTTCAATTTTTGCCACATTATATACACATCCAGTCTCTTTTAGGCAGCTTTTTGGACAGGAATAAAGACATTGTGTCCTAGCATTGCAAACTCTTATGTATAACGTCACCTGTTTGTTCTGTCCCTTTCAAACATACATTGAAATTGAGATGGTCAGGTACTGGAATAGCACATACACTTTGAATAGTACAGTACGGTAAATCCAGGGAAATGTTCTTAACAGCAAATATATAAGAAACACATTGTAAACATGTACAGGAGCAAATTTCAAGATTGTTAGGGCTTTAGACATTAGTCTGGTATATACAAAATATATATATTATATATATATATAACTATAACAACACATCCAAAGCAGCTCCAAATATAATGTCTGGCTGAAAGTGTCCCTCTCTATGGTTGTTGCTGGTATTGTCCCTCTGTGGCGGTGTAGAAGTCGTCCAGGACACTCTGCAGGTACTCGAAGGTGGGCCTGTCTTCAGGTTTGTGCTTCCAGCAGGACATCATGATGGCGTAGAGCTCGTCAGGACAGCTGTCAGGCTGAGGCATCCTGTAGCCGCGCTGCACCGAGGAAATCACCTCTCCTTTGGTCATACCTGAGGAGAACACAGGCAGGTGAGAATATAGGAGTGTTTAGAGCAGGGGTGTCCCAACTACGGCCCGGGGGCCAACTGCGGTCCGTTGTCCATTTTAAATTGGCCCTCAGCTAATTGTAAAAGTGTAATGGAATATGGCCCACATCTGAAACTTGTGCTTTTCTTATATTGCACTTCTTAAATATGTATATATATATATATATATATATATATATATATATACATATATTTATAAAACGGACAAGTAAAATCAAGCAATCTGATTGGTTCTTAGCCGTGGTATACTGAGCGTATACCACGGGTAGAATTGTAAGTTACTTTTCACAACAAGTCAGTATCCCTCCGCGTCTGAGATAAACAGTATACAGTTGGGCTGCAGTTTGCTTTTCAAACTGGAACAAGAAAGCAGCGGAGAAGTAACCGGGCAGAAACCCTCCTTTTTACGCAACGGTCCAGACATAGACATCAAACGGCAAAAACATATTCAGTGTGCAGTTCCTTTGGCATTAGGGCAGGGATATTTAGATACTTTTCAAGGTTTGACATAATGAATTGTGCTACTTTTAAAGCAAGCAACGATGTTTTCAGATCTGTAATCAAAAAGGTCCGCAAAAACATTTAAGAATAACTTCGACCTCCGGGGGGGGGGGGGGTCTTACTATGGAGGAGTGGATGGAGGAGTGGATTGAGGAGTGCCTATCTCCAGAACAAAAAGCACCTAAACGACGACATGTAGAGCTACGTGAAGAGCAGGTAGACCAACTGGAAAAGTATCACCATTCAAAAGCTTTCTGATGCGGGTCTTGAAACAAAGCAGAGAAATTATGACCGTTAGTGGCCACAGGTGAGAAAGCTCTCTCCAGAGCTACTGGAAGCCGAATCTCGGGGACCGGAGAAAGTGGAGCAATATTCTCGCCACGCCAAGCACGCTTCGCGTCGGGCCGAACCACGCCCCTTAGCTGTGATATAATGAGCATATACCACGGCCTGTCGTGAGCTATTGCTTAAATATATGACACAGTAGTATTCGTGTGTTCATGTGCCCAATGTTCAAATAAATTCAGTCAATTAAAGTTGAAAACATTTTCTAACAAATCTTAGTTGATAAAAAAACGCCCAATAACTTACTTACATATCAAGCTTCAAATATACCTTTCCTCTTTCCCCTTATTATAAGCAATCTGAGGCTTCTGTTTTAAGAGATGAGTTGCCAACACTTTTTTGTAACTAAATAAATGAAACCCGATAGAAAGCTGTGATGTAGGCGTTTTTTTCTCTTTAAGCATTTCAATTATCAAGAATAATTTACCTACATTTGATTGATTTTGCTAACTTATAACTTAACTTATGAGGCAATAAATCTCACCTCTGGTGGGGGGCCCAACCCTTTGTATGCTTTTCTGTATGTGGCCTTCAGTGAAAAAAGCTTTGACACCCCTGGTTTAGAGGGACAACACACATACCCTATATACCCACGTAGTCATTAGCTTGAGTAAATAATCACCAGTAGAGGACGGTAGATCTTCAAAACACAATGACTCCAGAATTGTGGAAACCTCTTTTACTGTAGTCACCACGTTTGTCTTAGTCAAATTGTTCGTTATAAGTAAAAAAAAGAAATTCTTTATTTCTCTTGCATATTACTTTAATTGACAGTTTTATATTTATCACAAGAACACAAAGTAAGGAAAGGCACAGCTACGCAATTTATTTAATAGTATTTTGTGCATAATTCAAAGATTATAACACTGTAGTTTAAAAATGTTCAAATAATATAAGTAGTACAAATAGGCTACTTAGGTTTTTTTTGTTTACCTGGGTAGGGGCATTTCCCGTATGTTATAATCTCATAGAGCAGAACTCCGAAGGACCACATGTCTGACTTGATGGTGAAGGATCCGTAGTTGATGGCCTCTGGAGCCGTCCACTTAATGGGGAATTTGGCTCCTGAGGATGACATGGTAAAAAACATTAAATATGCCGTTCATTTAGTATCTAAATTTAAATCAAATTCATCTGCTGAATGTAAAAAACTCCATATTTCCACGTGTATGACCCATACTGTCAATGGAATATGTAAATGAAGGTCAGAATAAAAACCTGCGTTTATTTTTAATGTTCCTATGAAGGGCGTTTCAGTGTTTCCTGGTTCCAGGTCAGTAATCATCAGGTTTATGATGACACATAGATACATGTTCACACACTAGACTGGTGTTAGTATGAAAGGAGAAAGAATGGTTTAAACCCATGTTGGTCACTGAGTGGTTTATTTTAGCTTGAAAAAGTAGAGGAACTGGCAACTGAAACCAAAAGTCTGGCTCTTGAAACACACATAGGTCATGAATTCTACTTCTTACTCTCAAAAGGGGATTTTTATTTTAGGTTTTTCAAAAGTATCCCCCTGGGAGTCAGCTAAATACTGAAAAATAACAATGGACATTCAAACAGAAAAAGTGTACCCTCTCTGGCAGAGTATTCGTCGTCCTCTATTACTCTTGCCAGTCCAAAGTCAGCGATTTTGCAGAGCAGACTCTCTGACACCAGGACATTGGCTGCTCTCAGGTCTCTGTGGATATATTTCTTATCCTCTATATACGCCATGCCCTCTGAAATCTGCAACAGCACAAGAAAAATATGGTAAGCAACAATGTCAACGTAAGAGATAACAAATAATTTAAAAAAATGGTCTAACGTGAAGTGCCCAATTCTATATACCATTTCAGACAAGTCTATGGGTGACACAGAAATTCAGTTCAAACTAGTGTTGATGGCAGTAGATTTAAAGATATTGTGTGAATTACTTCACTATGAACTGAATAAAGTGTCTTCAAACAGTTCCTTGGAATAATATAAAGTCATAACATGTGGATTTGACTCATCATTATTTTTGACATCTTATCAACAAAGAGATTAATAAAAAAAAAAAAATACAGCTCAAGTTCAAACCCAAACGTAGCAAATAATCCCAGTTCCAGCTATTTGTATTGGTTTTACTAATGCTGAAAGCAGAAATCTGCAAACCAACATAGTTGTTCTTATCATACTTTATTTTATGGTTATCTTATCCATGCTTTACCAACTTAATCAAGTTAGTATTTAACCTTTAGTCACACACTTATGTGTAGGAAAAACATTGTCAGCAAAGCTTCCCTTTGCAATTCTGTAATGATGTCATAATAATTTTCTAAAAGGTTTCATCTAAAAATTGCCAAATTCTGGCAACATTTTGTATTTCTTTAAAGGAATTGCTCCATTTACATCAATGTAAATGTTCAACTATTATCAATTCATTCAACGAAACTTAATTGGTGAAGTGTCCGTTTATTGCTTTTGGTTATGGTTCCTCCTTTCAGTTCAACAATGGAAAAAGTTATGTTACATGTATGTCTGTTTCACAATCATGGCAGAGAGTGAGCATAGGAAAAAGCAGCATATTGCGGTCAGTGTGCAAATCACCTGCGCTGAGAAATCAATGAGCTTGGGCAACTGCAGTTTGCATCCTTCGTCACTCTTTAAGAAGTCTAGTAGGCTCCCTAAAACAAGAGAGAATATTTACAATGTTAGTTTCTCGTGTGTCCATGCATGTGGTATACTGTATAGGCTACTTACATGTGTATCCTTGTTTGCATTTTTGCTAATATAAGGTTTTTAGAAGTAATATAGAAAAAGTTTTTTTTTACTAACCTGCAAACCTCCTCTGTGAAATAC